CCCCCTCCACCCCAAGAGCTTTAGGCTTTTTTACTCAAGTGCCTCTTAATTTAAGACCAAATATAGCCTGCTGCAATTTTTCCTATCAAACTTTATTGTTCTGCCACTGTACCAGCATATTATTATTTACAGCTGAAAACCTCAGTCTGAGACCGTCAGGAGGACTGAGCCGAAGGTGAGTTTCAGCAGCGCTCCCCCCGCCGCGATGCTGGGGGCCAGGCTGCGTGGCACTGCCGCAGCTCCAGCCTTGCACAAATGAAGGACTCCCGTGCTTTTGCTTCCTTGGCTGCTGAATCCGTCCCATTGACCGTGGCACCCCGGCCACCTCTCCGCGTACACCTCACCCGCAGCCACAGCCGGATCGTGACAAGTCACACGGGTGCAATGGAGTTAAACCGATTCCCAATTTACTTTTAAATGCAATGTCACCAGAAAGGATTAGTTCAAGGCTTTGGGCTAGTCAACACATGAGGAAACTTGCTGTAAGGTAAAATGCACTTGCTACTCAGGGAGAAGCGGTTAGAGGAGTGCTGACTCAGCAAGGCTTTGCCCCAGTGGTGCCTGGGCTGACCTGTCCCCCCGTGCGGCTCGTGCCTGGTCACCGTAGCTGTCTGCAAGTGCCTGAGGTGGACGGGGGAAGACGAGCCGGGGTAGATCGTGGCAGCGTGGTGCTCCCATGATGCTCTCGCCTGGCAGGAGCGGCTCCTGAACTGCTCAGGAGATCTGCCTCATGCCGGGAGAGGAGAAACCCAGCTCATGGAGGGTTTGGGCATCACCAAGGGGCCCCAGTGCCATTTTTAGAGCCCCATTTAGCCAGATGCCTGAGGTGTGGGAAGAAGCCCCCTGGGAACAGGGTGCGATGCACTGCCACCATCGTGCAGCCCGTTCCTGCTGCACCATCACACCCGCAACATCAGACTTCAGTCGCTCCCACTCTGCCCCATCCGCACTGGGGCAACGTCAAGGGGCTTTGGTACCTAGAATTACTTATAAGCAGATTGTAGAAGAGGCAGGTTTACTTAATAAAATAACATATGGGAGGTACTAGCATGAAATACAGCAATATTCATGTTGTAAGGGAGGCTTAGATGTCTAGGGCTTGGAGCTTTTGGCTGATGCTAGTTTAGCTTAATATGCTGAGGATATCTGCAGGCATTTAACCAGGCTGGCACTCGATAACATGATGGTGCAATCTGAATTGCTTGAAGGGCATATTAGAAGCTACATACTTAGATAGATAAATATGTTAATACAGCATATCCAGGGAGGTTTTGCCTTAGAATGACTGGGGACAGTAAAAGCGTGTGTTCCCCTAGTATCGGGGGTGTCCTTGGGGTGCCCTTGGCCACGTTTCTGGGTGCCTGCCTGGGGCAGGTTTGTGTGTGTCCCCGGGAGCTGCAGTGTGGTCACAGCACGAGCTGCCCCTGCGTTGCCGACAGAGGGCAGGGGCAGGCGAGGGTGCTGGTGGACCTTGCGGGGGTGTCAGGGCTTTTCCCCTCATCTCTGCAAAGCTTCATGCAGAGCAGAGGAGCTCTGCTTTGTCTATTTTTGGTAAAGCCTTTACCTAAAGCTTGGAGCTGTAATGTTTGGCTCTGTTATACTAGCCAAAAAGAGAGAGAGGGAAAAGGAAGAGGTGATGGTTGGGTTTTGGGGTCCAGGTCGTCTCTGAGCTCCCGGGACAGGGCTTAGTCGGCCGAGACGGGCAGCGGGAGGAAGAGGATCGCCTTCTGGCCATAGTGAGTCCGCGGCCCCAGCTTGCTGTTCCCATTCTTCTTCAGACCAACAAACCAGTTCTTATCCGCGTGCTTTTTGGAGATGTACGTGTTGTAATGGTTTTCTTCAATCCTTTCAAGGAACAGGCACTCCTCACCCAGTAACTGCTGAAAGAGAGCCCCGGGTAATGGCAGTGAGATGGGGTGATGCCGTAGGGAGGAGGATGTGTGTTCCTAACGTGGCAATCCTGGCTCAGATGCTGTTCAAACCTGCCTCTGAGATCTCTGTGCCCCAGTAAAGTTCATATTTAAAGCATGGAGGTAAGTAGCCTTGATTTAGTTGCCTGGGCTACACCTACAGTAACTTGTCCGTGACCTGGGCATTTTATTTGGCAGTAACTGAGCCCAGCCCTGCACTCTGTAAGCCGGTCCTGGCACTGCCTCCTGCTCTGGCACTAACCTGTGCGGTGGCAGCTGTGGGTTCAGGTCATGAGCACGGGGAACAAAACAGCTCTTTGGTGAGGCTAAGCGGCCTGTGACCAGGATCACGTGTCGCATGCTTTACTATAAATGGGACTAGTCTCAAAGACCAGATTATTTTCAGTGGCTCCGTGCCCTACAGTGGAGTAAGTTCCTGCCTTGCATGATCCCACTTGCACCGGGATGCCATGGATGTTGTCGCTGCCTCCAGCACAGGGCTTGGTGCGACTAGGATACAGAGGAAAAATGTGGGGGGGTCTTTGCTCAGTGGCTGTGGGCCATTGCCTGGGGCTGCTTCCAGCCCTGCTAGCAGCCCTGAACCAGCTCGCAAAGCCGTGGAGAGGTGGCAGGAGGCAGGCAGAGGTGTGGGCAAGGTGCTGCCGGGGCGGGAAGAGCTGGGCTGTAGGTGCACCTGCCCTGCACTGCTGCGGTCCCCCCACGGCCCCGCTCGCCGAGCTGCCAGCTGCCAAGGGGATGCAAGGCAGCTGCTGCTCCAGATATGGAATATGATATTTGTCAAATGTTTGAGGCAGGGTGGTAAATGGCGTGATTTGATTATTCATTTATTTCCCCCCAAAATAAAGCCGGATGGAGAGTGGCCGTCCAGCTACCAAAATAACAAACAGAGGCTAATTGTTGCTTGCGGTTTGCATTACTCAGAGCTATGAGATTTCTGCAAACCTCAAACCCTCTCCATGTCTGGTCCCACATAAACCTCCTACTTACCGAGCCATACAGCAGCCCGTTGGTGTCCATCGCCAGGTACTGCCCAGACTTGGTGCTCTTTATATACACCTCTCCCACACTTTCCGCGCTTAGTTGGAGTTGAACTGAAAGTAAAAATAAAACAACAACAACAAGAAAAGTATAAGGAAAACAGAAAAAGAAAAAAAAGATTGTCAGAGATAATGTCCAAACTGCTAGGAAAGTTAGCGGGGTATTTTTGTTCTGAAGCCTGGCTTATAAAGAGTTTATAGGAAACAGTACAGCGTGTAATAAAAGTGTCTCCTTGTACCCTCTCCTTCAAAGAAACCCCACAGCCATGCTTTAGGAACCAAAGACCAATTTTTTCCTTATTTTACATCAAAGGAAGGGCAGCCTTTTGGTTAAGACGTTGGAATGGGACACAGGAGATTGGGGTTTTAATTCTGGCTCTAATTTACAAATTTCTCATGTGGTTTTGACAAGACACATAAGGAGTGACATATGAAGAAGTATTTCAAGAGCTAAACCAGGGACGGGCAGACTTCAGATGCCTGCGTTGCAAAACCCTGATCCAAAGCATCCCATCCGGCAGTGTGCCGCGGCTGGCGTTATCTGGCGTGCCGTAGGCGGATAATGGAGAAATAGAAAGGGCTGATCTTCATCCTAAAAAATACCTCCCATAGGTAGCTATGAGCCACACCTTAGATTGTCCTAGTTTGCAGTGCTAACTTGAATTGGATACTGAGCCTGCCAGCGCACAGGCTGGGTGGGGGCAATGGGTTCGTGGTGATGCTGTGTCGCTTCGTGCAGCCCACTGGGCACTGGCTTTCCATCCCCGTCACTGATGCTGGACTTCAGCTAGAAACTCTGGGGCAAAAAAAGCTCATTCTTGGTCTTGGACTGCAGGAGGGGAGCGGCTCAGCTGCAGGCTGGGATGTCTGGGCCACCTCCCTTCCCTGCTCAGTATCCTGTACCTAACACAGCAGATTTAACCTTTCTATTTGTCCGGTTACTTTTTTTTGCTCGTGGGTTCTTTTTTTTCTTACTTTGCTCATTACAGGATTCTCGGAAAATGATTAAAACTTGGCTCAAGTTCTTGTTTAACAATGTATTTATCAGGAAGAGGCAAGGGAAGAGGCCATTTCTTTGGAGAGAAGCTTTGGGTGGACAGCTCTCTAGCACTGCGTGCTCAGAGAGGACCCCGTACTGCTCTCATGGGTCA